TTGAATTTGAAATGAAGTTTATATCAACACCACAATGGCCTACTCTTAAAGACGATATTGTTTCAGAAATCGTGGGTCAATCCGGCAATTGAAATATCTGGACTTAATGTAATGGGGCTGTTACTTTGATAGAGAAATCATACACTTGATGTTGCATTATATCCAAAGAAACCTATCGTGTATCAGATTAACAACCCGACACTTTTGAGACTTTTGAGGTCTACTTTCCATCTCATAATTTATTGTTGAGGTCGAGACCGATCAAAGCTGGAAGAGCTCACTGATAAATTTGAAAATACATATTTAAATTGAGTAAATTGAATTTTTAAATAATCAAAAGTCGAATTTGAGTGAAAAAGCTTGAGCAAGGATGTACTTGAATCTCGCAATAAATCACATACTCCCTAAGGTAGGTTACAGTGATTTTTTAAAAATGGTCACAGAGACACCTGTAAAACGCCTGTAATCCTGAAAATTGAAAATAATTAGTATTAGAAAGTAGTGACCATATTTAGTATATGCAAACACCTGTAATTTGTAACGGATTACAGGGGTTTACAGGTGAATTTTTTTATTGGAACTAACAAAATAATGCTGATACTTCTGTTATGTTTTACTAATGCTAATTCATCAAATATTGGTTCCTGACTGATCCTAATAACGACGGATTCATTTAGAAAAAAATTATACGATGCAAACGAGCCTATACTTTAAAAAAGAATGAATATTCGAGAAATTCACTGATGTAAAAAAAATATTTTATTTTATCCAAAGATATAAACTTTGGACATGTACAAGATTCTATAAAACGCTTGATCTTGATAAGATTTTTTTTATGGAAAAAAGTACGATCGTAGATATTTAAAGCTTTCACACTTTGCTTTCTGGTCGTCAGAAGAATACTAAGTTGAGTGTACCCTGTAATTTTTTATCAATACATCAATATATGAAAAGGCAGATTCAAAGTCGACCCCCTGTTATGTTGGTCGAAATCACATGAACTAAACTTTTCGCTACTCCTTTTTTAATCACAATGATGTAAATGCGATTCTTAACATTTCTTTTTGGAAAAGAATTTATCATAAAAATGTCTACAGAAGCTTCCACGCAAACTGTTGCTGCTCCTTCCAGCTCTACTGAAACGACACAAGAAAAGTCGCGTCCTTCACCTGCACGACAAGAAACAATAGTTGCTGACCAAATTCTGACAAGTGATCAAGATGCCAAACATTCGCAAATTTCTCGCGTCTTTGTTATTGCTATTGACCATTCTAGTCATAGTCAATATGCATTCGATTGGGCGGTTAAAAACATATTGCGAAAAGAAACCGATTTGGTATAATTTTGGGTCAATTGTGAGTTAGCACATGCTCGTTATCAAATTAATTGATTCTTAATATATGTACAATGTAAAGGTTGTATTGATTAATGTTCGACCAATTCCTTCAATTCCTGGCCCATACAGTAAGTATCAGATTATGATGAAGATGAGTAAATTTGCGCATAAAATAAATGCGTATTGTCGTTCTTTCTTATAAACCAAAAAATCTCGTTTCAAATTTTATTCAGCTATAGGCGCGACTTATATGGATTTCAGCGAAATGATTACAACTGTCGAGGAACAAGTAAATATTTATCATTACCGGGGAAGATATATATATCATTTACTACTTCTTTTCTATTAGCAACGTATAAGCAGCCACCAACTTTTGCAGGATTTTGCTTTGAAATTGAAAGCGCAGAACGTGAGTCTGTTTCAACCTAATACAATCTCATCATACCATAAGTCATTAATGGGAGTGCAACTTTTCAGTTTGCTTGCAAAGCAATTGCGATGAGAGGTGACGCACGCGACGAGATTGTTAGAAAGGTGACTGAAGTCAATGCGGATGCTTTAGTAATAGGATCTCGTGGATTAGGTGCATTTAGAAGGTACATACTTGCGTTCTTGCATGATAATTTTTTCTTTAATTTCCGTGATGATATTATTATTTCCTTTAGGACCATTTTGGGATCTGTGAGTGATTATTGTAGCCACGTTTGTCATTGCACCGTTATTATCGTCAAAGAACATGAAAATGAACCTCACCAGTAATAATATCAATATGACTACGCGACTATCCAATATTTTATATACACAAATAGTGCTCAAAAGAACATTAACTTCTAACATTATTAATTGTTGCTATGTAATTGACAAACTTTAATAAACACCCTATTATTGTCAAAAATTCAAAGATATCCCAGAAACGCAAAAATCCCATAAATCCCACAAGTACCACCAATAGACAACATTGCTAATTTAGTTATAAGATTTGATTATATTTAAAATAATATTAGTTATAGAGATAAAGAAAGAAAGCAAGCAAACATGGTAATACATATAACAACAACGTTTTTTTGATTTTTTAGTTTGTATGTAATGCAATAAGATAATTCCCCATGAAACCCACACTCTTAGAAATAATCCTATATAATAAAAAATCTATTATAGAAAAAAAGAAAGTAAATGATATATATATAATAAAAATATGACGTATATATACGAAACAAAAAAGAAATAAATTCAAGGGAAATACTATGATGAAACGTTAATATTTGGAATGATATGTATATAATAAAGAAATAAATGATGTGCGTATGTAAAAGGATGAATTGATTGTAAAGTTCATAACAATACTTTTTTGCTTCGTCTTTTGAAATATATGAATGCGAGATTTTTTGTGTCTGGGGATAGAGAGAGATAGATGCTGATTAATTATTATAGTAGTAGTAGTAGTAGTAGTAGTAGAGAAACGAAACTTGAACACACAGATGGTTTTTGAATGGATGAACGATGAGAAAGTAATGATTGTTGATAAGGGCATAAAGGAACGAAATAATTAATTTCCTGTCATTATTCATTGTGACGCATTTTGTCATCAGATAGCCATCTTTTTTTCTTTTTTTGATTAAAGTTCATTTTTTAGTTGTGGTATTATGACATCGTTGATAATAGCTAGATGGATGACGCGTGTGTATATTTATGAGCAATAAAGAGACAAGAGCAGAATCAAAAAAAATTAATGATTTGGATTGTTACGACGACTGGCACGACACGGTTTGGCTTGCTTGCATGATGGGTTAATTGCTTGCGTTGGTGTCTTTTTTTTTCAAGTACATATCAGAAATTGTGTGTTCTTGAAGTCGCAAGTGTCCCAAGCAGCCGATCGTTCCTTTAATGCGATCAAGTAGTAAAACAAGACCGCTAACCCTATTGCCCAAATCCAAAGTTCTTGGTTCTGTGTGTGTATGTGTGATTGATTAAAGTGCGTATAACGTATATATATATGTGTGTGTGGTGAATTTTGGGAGGGGGATTAGATAACAGAATGAGGAGGATGATAATAATAATGATGAAGATAAGTGAGGAGGAAGGGATTAGAGAGAGAGATGGACAGAAAAAGAAAAATATACAAATAGATTATATGGGTTAATGATTTATCATGTTGTTGTTTAGGTTTCTTTAAAATTTGCTTTTCTTTTCTTTCTTTTTTTTTGAAAAAAAAATGAAAAAATAAATATATATCAAAAGTATGATTTTACGGATGAAAGTAAAAAGATTTGGGAGGTTTAAATAAAAATTAAGTTCAACATAAAAACCAAAATATTAATTCTCTAATAAAAGCAAAATCATTATTCTATGGTTAAAAAAAGGATTAAACTCAAGGGAGTAAACGAAGAATAAAATTTACAAATAAACAAAATGAAATATTTACGAAATGTATAAAATGATACTTATGAAGTATAAAAAGTTCAAATAATGATAAAAAGAAATAAAGAAATAATAATAAAAAAGTCCAGTATAACAATAATAATAGCAATAATACTAATATCAATAATAACAATAATAATGAACAAGGGGTTTGTTTCCTCGCTTAACCTTTTAATTCCATCTAAATCCTTGTTATCTACGCCCAGATTAATATAATGTAAAACCCCTCGATCGATATAAAAAAGACGAAGAATCCAAAATCTTTTTATACACCCTTTTCCTCATTAAGCATTGTACAATGTTTCCATAAACAAAATAAATATAAAAAATATAGAATAAAAGAATCTAACCCTTAATTACTAAATAAAACTAAATCCGAATTTCCACCCTCACTCTAATTGCCTTTTATCTTTTCCCTCTTTTTTTCATAACTATTTTTGCTTGATGTTTTTCGGTTTGTATCTCATTTCGGTTGGACCCAAACGCGGTTTATAACTCAATCTACTGTTGTCACCACCCCCATCATTATTATTGTTACTATTGCTACTAATACTACTACTATTACCACTATTATTAGTGGTAGTATTTTCTAGTCTATTACTCACTTTACGGGTGAACAGGTTTCTCACCGCCAAGGGGCCGCCGTCTTTTTCTCCCTCGATTCGGAGTCCTGGTCCCTGCGGCATGAGGCGGATGTTCGCCTCATGAAAACTGGGACTAAGAGAGGTTTGACTACCGTTGGGGCTTGTTTCGTCAAGTCCGACAAAAGATCGGGCTTTGGGGATAAACTTTTGTTCCAAGTTAGCGTGTTCTGTGTTGGCAGAATGAATTGGAGAGTGACATCACTGTTATCTATCGATATAATTGTGTATAATAAACACAAAAAATGAGAGAGAAAATCATTTCAAATCGATTTTTTTTTTATCTTTTCTTTTGGAAATGATTTTTGGCATTCTCTGCTACTGCTTCTAATCTAACTAATCTATATCTATTCTACTCTAATCAAATAAAAAAATCGTACATACCAACAAGGAATCTTTGATTA